GCTCTGGTGAAGGAGGGTACTGCGGCTGCCAGGGCAACCTTGCAGGCAGCATCGGATGCAGCGGACACAGCTGCGCGGTCCATGGCCTCCGCAGTGTCCATTGGAAGGGCGTCGTGGCTCCTGCTGTCTGGGCTCTCCAGTGAGGCGCAGAACTGCTAGCAATACCTCCCGTGTAACGGCAAGGCTCTGTTTGCGGAACAGACGGTCATAAAACTGCATGGCCTGAAAGACTCCTGCACTACGCTTAAGACTCCTGGCTTCTATGTTCCATCTCTGGCTAGACCTAAGTTTAAGCCGCAGCAAGCTCCCACCCAGGCCACCCACTCTAAATACGAGCCCCCTTATAAAAAGTCACGGGACTATAAGAAATGCCCGCATCCCATCCTCCTTCCCCTCTGCTGGAGTTGTCTGGCAAGAAAGAACAGAGTGGGGGGAGTGTGCAGCGCCCCTTATACCGCACCATGAAGGCGCCACTCCAGGGGTCGCTAGAGGCGCTCCCCTACAGGTACTGCTAGGGGAAAAACTTCCGACACCAGTGCACGTGGCGAGTACGCACACCTATTGTGGAATACACATGAGCAACACATTTCGAAGAACACCAGTTACGGAAAAGGTAACTGTCTTTTCCTCTTCAAGCCTTATTTGATAAAGGGTTTCTTGTATGCACCCCCTTCAAGGACATTTTAAGATCCAAATGGGGTCCTGGGTTAAAACCAAATTTAAACTAAAATGTTATCTTTTTATAAAAAATTTCTTAAGTTTTGGGAATTTAAGTCCCTTCAGAAGGGAGCTTTCTTCCTCAAGATCTCATGGATATGAGAGTGAGGAGACAATAAACAGAGTTCAAAGCCTTGACTCTAGACATTCAGCCCGAAAGTTTTTCTGTACTTACCAAGGAAAACATCCTTGGTTCCAAGCAAATGGCTCATTGTCTAGGGATTTGATCCTTGCCTTGAGTGTGAAAGGTGTCGGGTACGCATTCTGGTCACATGCTTGCAGTGGTATGCAAAATATTCTTTAGGCAATTTTTCATGGGTCCTGCTGTGATTAGTAACAAGAGCAGTAGCTCTTGACTCAATGGCTACAAGAAAGTGAATTTACACCCATGAATATTAATCAGTCATCCCAAACATATTCCCTGGCATACGAATTTGCAGATGTGAGGATGTTTGAGGAAACATTAGCGAAATTAGCAGGTGAGAATACAGAGACATCTTAACCCTCCCTCAGTTTTCTGGAGCTGACCATGAATCTCCAGATACTCATTGGATTTGAAACCCATTCTTCGTAACAGTTGACTCCATTTCAACCTTAAGTATCTTGCTTAAGAAAATCTCCTAAAATTGTCAAGTGATCACATGATGAAGACCCAAGTTTTCAGATTTAAAAAAACAGGAATTCTGGATTTCTGTTAAAGGAGAGTATAAACAACTCAATGATAAAATTATGGAAGTATTGCTTCCATTCACTCCCAGCTATCTCTGAGAGTCTGGGTTTTCAGCAAAGACCTCTGAAAACTAAACACAGAAATCACTGAAATTTAGCACATGACCCAAGTCATTTTCCATCAGAGATTCAGCCAAACATTGCACAACTATGCAGTTCGAAACAGGCCTGCTTTTCTCACTGAAATCTTAAGCTATGTCCAAACATGCCAAAAAATCCATATTTTCACATTTTAGTTTTAAAAACACAGATTTAATTGGATTATATTAAACTGTCTGTGGTTAAATAAAATCGCAAAACCATCTCTCTTGAATCTAGTGTTTTGAACTTTTGAATATAGTGTCCTAAGTCAGTGTGTTTATATATAAAAAAAAGGATTTGGGGAAGCACTAATTTTAAAATATCTGTAAGGATCCGGAGTACTAAAAAGTTTGGGAATCACGGCATTAGCAGAGGGAAGAATCTGGGGAAGCTCCTAACAAAGACCTAAATGAACTTTCTCCACAAATCAAAAAGTTGTGAATGACAAAGGCTAAGTGTACACCTGTGTGTGTGTGTGTAAGAGCTTACAATACCTGTACAAAACTCTCCCTTTTGATCTACTCTTTTCAGAATCTTCAGAAATGGCTGGTGGTAGCCACAACAGGTTTCAGACTGCAAGTTACACATCTGTAACCATTCATGAACAACATGTCTATCAGTGTCCTGTCCAGAAAAACAGACTCACACCTAACTTATCAGCTCCCAGAAAGGATTCAAACCTACCAGTTGTACAAAATCAAGACAAACTTTTTGAACCTAATGCAGAGAATTGCTCATCCCAGGGTCAAAATAGGCATGACTCTGGCCATAATTTTACCAACAGAGGAAAGATTTTGGAAAAATACAAATCTTTACAACAGTTGGTTTTTTTGGCAATTATCTCCTTCAGCTAGGATTGCTGGTGCCACACACCAGTATCACCCCCCTAAATGGGGTTTCTAAATATGTGCCTCTAGAAATGCTTTCTGAATACCTGAAATCATTCAGCGTATGCAGTCAAAATTAGACATTATTTCCAATCATGTCTGAACATTCGTTTGTGCACAGGTAAATATAAACTATAAAAAGCCAGTCCAATTTGCACTCTAGACCCTTGAAGTACTCACTATGGAAGGAAGCATCGCAGGGTTGGGCACATACCTGGAAAACATAACTATGGGATTATGGTGTGTCACTCAGAAAAGGAAAGCATCCAGTTCTCTCAAGCACACGTCTGTGATGTACAGGTTTCCAGAATCACAGAATAGACATCCTGTTTAGTTCACTTTGAAAGCTCTATCAGTGAAGTGTCTGATCAAAAACATAGGAATGGTCATACAGAAACAGACCAGTGGTCTAGTAAGTCCAGTAGGTGGCTTCTGAGAGTGGCCAGTACCTGAAGCAGAGTAAGGTGCAAGAAAACCAGTGGTGGGTAGTTACAGAAAGCTTGGAACATGGAATAGGGGAAGTTATCTCCTACTTTTGTTAGAGTCTGACTTGCAATCTGAAGCATGAATGTTTTTACCGCTTCCAAAACCAGAGAGTAACGAGAACTTGAAGCTTCTCTGATACAATGGAAATAATATCCTGGGCAGAGAAGAATCCACTGCTTTTCAGGGCAGTTCATATAAAGGAAACCGAAAAGAGTGTGCTGAAGTACTCCTAGTTTTGTGTTGGCCCTGAAAGCGCTTGTTTGGATTTGATAGCCAAGGAACCTCAATTGCCCCTGCAGAAACGACTAGGCCCCTTAAAGCAGGAACACCTCCACCCAGACCTGGACCACTTACAGTTCACAGCCTGGACATTGGAAGGGAAGTGTGGTTCAACAAAGATTTTCTGTTAGCCTTATTCATACATTATGGAATCCATAAAGAACTCTGGGGCAGGGACTGTCATTTGTACAGTGCCAAGCACAGTGAGCACTGGACTTTAGATGCTACCAGAATACAAATAATAATCACAAAATTCTTGTGATCTCATCTATTCTAGAGTTTTCCCAGGCTGATTGGTTGAAGTCCTACACCTAAACATCATAGGAAATAGGGTACCAGCATTAGTGTCGTTCTTTATGCAGGCATATTGGACTCCCTATCTGAGTCTGAGGCATCAAGACTAAACAAAATGGCAGATTAGACAAGCCTGTTGCTAGCCTTTTTAGTTGCCATTGCCTCTGAAAGACATTCTTTGTTATTTGTTCTCTCTATACAAAATATACACTGCTGCTATTGGGGAAAATATCATCATAGCTTCAGAAAGCTTTCTGCCCAAAGTATGATGTTCTTTCCACAATTCTTGGGAAATCGTTCTTTCATAATTTTGTTCCAATCCTTAGCACTCCTTTGCGAGGTCATAGCATAAATGGGCATCCCTAGAAATCTACAGATACATCTTGAACCTACAAAGTACATGTGGCAAATGTACCGTTTTGATTCCATCCAAACTGTCAAGGCCTTAGGTTTTCAAAGTTGCTAGATATTATTGTTGCACCAGTTGGTCTGATAGGCATTTGGAAAACCATTCACAGAGGGAATCAGGGCTCCTTCTACAAGATCTGCTGTGGCGTGTGAGAAAAACATGTCTGAACCTCATATGAGAAAAACTGACAAAATAGGTTTCTGTTCCTCTGAAGAGGCATCTTTGGAAGAAAGGTACTACTGGATTGGTTTCCAAATTCCCTTAATTTACAAAGCTTTTGCCTTTATATGGGATAACTTCTATTCTGCCTGTTATTCTGCTGGATTAAAATTCTTTATCCTTTCCCATGCTACTTCTGGGAATCACTACTTGCTACTTCTCAGCAATAACATTGGCCTACCTCTAAATTCCACAGGTGAGAGGCATTACCCATTTGTTTTGAATGAGGGGAGAAGCTGCTAACAGGAATTTCAAATAAGTTCTCAGTCCTTACACTCGGTTAATAGTGAATTGGTGTGGTATGCAGATTGCAGGTTTTTTGAGCACTGGTCCCTTTTGTGTATTCCACTGGGCATGCGCATTTGTAGTAGTATGTGTACATAGTATATCTTTATTTCATAGCCATATATACCAGTTATGTCTGTAACATTCCGTATTGTAATCACCCTCAAAAAACTCTAAACAAATCTAGAATAGATACAAATGAGAAGTGGGAGGCCGTTTGAGCAAGCAACTTAAAATATAGCCCAATTAGCATATACTACAGAATAACTAAATTGACATCAGAATATAACAAAACATATAACCATAGTAAAATATATAAACCAGTTAATTAAATCAAAATCTGCTTAGTCAGACAAAATGGCTTAAAAACTGTCTTAAAAACTGGTCAAGAATATTCCAGAACCTGTGAAAATCTTCATTAAATCATAAGAGTCAGGAGAGGCACAGTATAAAAAAATGAGCTGTATTGTCAGAATACAAGGAGAGGTATTGAGTTGAAATAAAGTATGATAGAAAAAGGGAAAACTCTATTTTTGGTGTAATATAAGACTTGACACTACTTCTGTCTCATTAAAAGAAAAAAATGTCTTGACAACCTTCAACTCTCTTGACAGATCATTCCTTCAAGCCAACAACATAAAACAGATGAAAATGGTAGGGCTAATCTGGGAGTAATTAGTATTCATGCACCCAGGTAAGTAATGGAAATGTATAGACAAAAATTAATTTCTGAAAAGACTCTTATTAGATACCTTTAAGTTAGTTAGCTGCATGTTTACTAAAGTAGTTGCCAGGAAGACATCTAGAGCTAAGTGCAAACACTTAACTTATTTACTCCTGGGGGAATTCTACACTACTGCGTGTGTGCATAATTAATGAGCCACACACATTTTTAATTTTTTGCACAGGAAAAAAAGCTTCTGATGAAATGTTGCTGTAGTTATGCCTTTTGCCCACCAGAGAGCGCTGAGGTGCAAGAACAGCAGCAGTTACCAGCAGAAAATAACTTATGCAGTTCTGCCTTTTGCCCACTATAGGGCGCTGTGGCAATAGAACATAGCAGCAGCTCCCAGCCAGCTAGGAATAAGAAAGAGCCTGCTTTCTTCGCAGCGCCGGTTAGGTCAGGAGACGGGGCTGTGGGGAGACAGACAGTGTGGGGGGGTCAGACAGGGCTGGGTGGGGTCAGACAGGGGCTTATAAGGCCTAGTGGGGGAGGACAGACTGGGTCAGGGGCTGAATGGAAGTGGAGACGCAGGGCCACATAGGCAGAGGTGGAGGGTGTGCAGAGTTACATAGGGACAGAGGGTGGCTGAGCGGGGGCACAGAGACACGGGGAGGGGGTACAGGGACACAGACAGGGAGTGGCTGAGTGGGGGCACAGAGACACGGGGAGGGGGTACAGGGCCATAGACGGGGAGTGGCTGAGTGGGGATACAGCCACATGGGGATGGGGGAGTGGGTGTTTGAGTGTGGGTGGAGGGACACGCGGACAGGGGGTGCAAGGACACATGAGAGTGCAGGAACACATGGGGACAGGGGCAGATGTGCCTGACTGAATGGGAGAGACTAGGGGTCAGCCAGGGTCTGCATGGGGGAATCTCCCTAACAATCCTTCCCCATCCCCTCAAAAAATCTGTTCCATACTTTTCCCACCCAGACCCACCAACCCCCCAAGTTCACACCCAATCTCCTTCCCAGCAATTTACTTCCCTCTCCCTCAGCTCCTCCGTTACCCCTGACTCCCCCAAGCCTTTGCACTGCTTCTGAGAAGTCTGGGAAATACGGTTCTGTATTGTAGTTTAAATGAATTATTATTCAGAATTCTGTATTAATATGTCTAGTAATGAATCTATTTGTCAAAAAGCATTTCCTGAATCTTTCTTTGTTGTCTGTATTGTTACAGACATGCTGACACACATTTTGAAATAAATGACCAAAAATAATTGAAACTGGTGTGATTATATTGTGTTATTTTGACAAATAAAATATGCAGAATTTTGCAGAATTTTAAAATATTGTGTGCAGAATTTTTAATTTTTTGGCTCAGAATTCCCTGAGGAGTAACTTATTGTTTGGGTGCATAGGCTAGGCTAATTGTTCAGCTTTGAGAAAGTCATTTCATAAACACTTTTTTTACAGAAGGTAATAGCTTACTCCATACGTCTGCCAAGAGAAGCTGCTGCTTTTGTTTACGGGATTTTTTTTAGACTTGGAAAAAATCTGTAAAAATGCACATTTTAACCATCATGTAGCACCTAGTGTAGATAGGGGTTTAACGTCTTTAAAAATGTGTTACTGCATAGGGTTGAGCATACCCAACTAACATGTTAAAGTCAATAACATTCGTTTTTAGAGGTGTATCAAGCGGTATTTAAAAATATTTGTTAAAATGTTTTTGCTAACATGTTTTTTAAACAAATACATTTTTCCCAGTCTAGAGAAGGCCCTGGAGTGGAAATTTTAAGGAGCATTGGAATGAAAAAGAAATATAGTTACAGGTCCTGTTAAGTAGCCTAGTTTTCTCCAAGTATATTTCTACCACAATTTAGCTGTTTTTTTTCCTTCTCTTTAAAGACTCCTGCATTCCATATAAGCAGACAGAAACTAAGGGACTGAGGCCAACTTGTTTCCTTTTATAGGTCCAGTCTTGGTGACACAGGGAGCATGGTTTGAGACATTCAACCCAAGATAAACTATAACAATTTTTAATACTTCTAAGCCAGCCAGGTGGCCCAGAGGAGATCTGTGGATCCAGTAATTGTAGTACTGTACTCAGTAACTCAGCTATTTGTAATAATTTTTCCAAAGGGCCAAAACAGCTCCATATTGTACAAAAATATGTGAGGATGACATTGTAAACACACACTTTTCTGTTTTGATGCTTAGTGTTTTATATCAGTTAATATTTTTGCATTTTTAACTTAAGATATTTTGAACAAAAATAACTTTTTAAGTTTGAAGAAAAATGTTTGAGTCTTTCGCCATAGTTAAAAATGTAGTGTTGTAAATTAAAAAAACCCTCAGATTTCTGTATTATGAAGTTAATGACCTCTTCATGGTCTAATAGTCTCAGTGTATGTTGCTAGGTGTGAGGCTTGTGTTCAGCTTCAATCCTTGGCTAGCAAGGACTGGGAATGGTTTTGAACACATTTCTCTCAGGTGACCTTTTAAATAGTTCTCTCTCCTTCCAGTCCTAATGATCTAAACTGTCCTATAAATCAGATCCTGAAAAGGGGGTTGAGAATTGGTCAAAATGGTGGAATATTAAGCAAAAGTAAATGAAAATAACTGTCATTAGTGCATAGTTAGATGTGAGAACATCTTAAACTTTAGACATTTCTTGACTCATGATATTTCTAACCTTGCATTAATACTAGGTTTTTGCCTTAACTATAATTTTTATATCAATGATAGAAAGTGGGCATGGGGAGGAGAATATTGTAAGCTTGGAAAGCCAAATAAGTCACAAGTACCTTTATGAAAATCCATTTAAACATCTTTTTGAAAAACTGCTATTAACTTATTGCATTATAACAGTTTGTTATATGATTGCTGTATGTTTCAGGGGAGAGCATACGTTACAGCTTAAAGCCTCATACAACAGGAACACATTAGATTGCCCTATAATCAAGTTCAATGTCCTGCCTGACCCTGAGAAACCAGTGTGTTTGAATGTTAAGTATGACAAAAATGCTTCTTTTGCAGCAGGAAGTACCTTCCCTGGTGAGTAGCTCTATTTAAATTAGCTTTTGTTTGGGGGTTTTTTTTTTTTTTTTTGTAATTTTGGAAACCAGCTATCCATGGCTTTTGATGTCTGTAAAAAGTGGTTTGTGAGATTTATTTCAATGGTGATCAGTATTTTCATACATCCCTTTTAGCTGATATTCCATTATACCTGACTGGCAAAATCCTTTACAATCAGCATTTTGGCTTCACCTATCGAGAAACAGGAGGCAAATATGTGAAATGATTGACAGAAGTTCCAGTTTTGCCCTTTTTGCCTGATGTCTGCTAAAAGCCTGGAGGAGAAGAGATGTCTTTAGACTGTGGCTGTGCCGCTAAAAGCCATGCTACTAAAAGGCGCGCAGTGTAGCTGTTGTTTGTCAGCAAGAGAGAGTTCTCCTGCCGACAAAAAACTTCCACACAGACACACACACACACACACCCCACGAGCGGAAGCGGCTTTGTCGGCAAGAGACAGCTCTTGTCGACAAAGCGCTGTTCACACCAGCGCTTTTCATCTGTAAAACTTTTGTCCTTCGGGATAGTGTTTTTTTAACATCCCTGAACGACAAAAGTTTTGCCAACAAAGTGTCAGTGTAGACAAAGGCTTAGTTATCATGCCCCTCAGTCTTACTCCACTTTCTTTTCCTCTTCCAAAAAAAAAAAATCTAAATGAAATAGTCCTTCAACTTGTGGGCCTCTTTTGCAATTATACAGAATTGGTCTTGTGGGCTGGTTCCATTTGTGCCCACTCTGAGGGGTTTTTCTCAGTCACTGGCTTTTTCTCTTTTCTGAAGATGTTGCTCTATAGACTGGGAATCCCACCTCTGCTACCATTTCTCCCCCGGGTCATGGAGGAGATTTGTTTTTTGCCCTGACACTCCTCCTCTTGCATCACCATGAATGTCACAAGCTGATAGAGTACACCCAGATAACAGCAGTGCAGGAGATCTGACTCCTATTTAGAGGAAGTCCAGTATCAATGTGCTGGCATTCCACATTATCCACCTTATCCTTCTTGCCTAAAAGCCACTATTAGACAAATTGACTGCAGTGACATATGTATAACTGGGAGGTACTCTCAGACCTAGCTCTTGTCTGAAATCCCTTCCCTTGACACTTGGGTAGAAAAATCCACATTGCTTTTTTCAGTCATTTACCTCAAATTCAAAGAATGTTATAATCCACTGCCTGAGCAGAACTCCCATATTCCCAGTATACGCCTGCAGGTGCTCAATGAAATTTGTCATAGTGTGGAACTAACCATTGATTGGTTTGCGCCACAAGACAACCAAACTCCCCGTGTTGTTCTCCAGGAACTTCACTCTTAAAATCCTTGTGACAGATTCATTCTCCTACCGTTGGAAAGAAAAAACTAAGAAACTGTTTCCATTTTATTACTCAGATTAACCAAGGATGGTAGAAAATCAGGCTGGGCCTGGTGGAAATAATTTTACTGTCACAGTAATGGCTTCACCAAGTCCTGATTTTTCTGATGTAATGAGTGTGTGTCTTGCACCAATTGAAGCTACGTATTCTCTTGATCCTGTTTCCCCACCCAGTTTTCTGATCCAAAGGACCTGGCACTAACAGCCTGGAGAAATTGAATAGACTTGATATCTGAAAGAGAATCTGTTGGAGGACCCCTCTCCCCCCCACATTGCTGACTGCCTCTCCAGGAACCAATCACCCACTGCAGTTAAATATTATGGGATCTTAAATATAGCTTCTCTCAGGGGGGGATGAGAAAAGGAAACATCTTTGTATAAGCAACTATTCCCTCCAGCATGCCCTTCAGTTCCTGCTACAGGTGTTTAAAGTGAACTTTCCCAAATATTCATCTCTAATCTAATCCAGGGAAGGGATATTTAATGCTGTTCTTGTGGAAAATGGCTGTTATGTTCCCAAAACCTGTGATTGGTTTTGAATGTTATGGGTATGTTGGGGTAGCTTCTGAGACCTTATTCACCTAGTAGCCTCTGAGCCCTTATTTACTTGGTTCCCAAGAACTCAGCTCAGATGTCATTGAGGTTTCTTGGTTGGCATTCAGTCAAACTACCCTTGAGTTGATCAGGCTCAAACGTAGGGTGTGAGTACAGGAATTCTGTTTCTAGCCTGCTGATCCAGAAATGAGGCCACCCCAATGTCCAGTTACTCATGTCAAGCCAGGCCTTTGAATTTATGGCATATTTTCCCTTTTTTGTTGCTGTGACTTCACTTTGCAGGGTGAGCACGCAAAATTATTGGATTCATTCTCCTCCCTTTCTTCAGTTCTTTCCAGACAGAGTGGTGTTTTTATCTTCTGCCAGAGTTTATTCCAAGAGTTAAGTTCAAATTTTTTGGACCCTTACTTTATTTACCCCTTTTCCATTAGTTCTACTTCGAATAGATAATTTGTCTTCCCTGTTTTTCTCCCCATTTTTTTTTTTTAATTTAAAAAAAAAAAAGTTTATTTCTTTCCCTCAGTAGAAGTTGGGATTTCATTTAACTGGCAGATAGTGTTTAGTTCTCCCCTCATGGGGGAGGGGAAATACTCCCCTCAGGGGCATGCCCAGCTCACCAGGCTTTAAGCGCTGCCTCACCTGCAGGCTTTTAATACTGCTTTCAGATGGACATTCTCAATGTATTTGTGGCTTAGGCGAAGCACACATGCCTCAAAAGTGCCCACATTGTCACAAACTGACAGCCCGGACCACAAAAGCCAAAGACTTGCGGCTTAAACTGCTGCTTATGGAGAAATCTCTCCATCCGGCAGGACAGCACTGCAAGCTGCCCTAGACTCCCTCCCCATCCCTCTTCAGGGACCCCGCTCACGAAGATCTATTGCGTCAGGAGGTAATCCACTTCATCCAGCTTGGAGCAGTAGAACTGGTACCAACAAAATACAGAGGGATGGGTTTCTACTCAAACTACTTCCTCACAAGAATAAAACAGGAGGATGGAGTCCCATATTCGATCTCCGACGGCTCAACAGATTTGTCAGAAACCAACACTTCAAGATGGTGACTCTGGCAACAATTATCCCAGCATTAGAAAGCGGGGACTGGCTCGGCCCTTGACCTCCAGGATGCATACTTCCACATAACGATTCACCCATCACATCGGAGGTTTCTCCAACTCACTCTTGGACCAGATCACTTTCAATACAAGATCCTGCCCTTCTGTCTGTCCACTGCTCCCTGAGTCTTCTCAAAGGTACTCGCGGTAGTCGCTGCACACCGCCGCAAGAGAGGAATCATGATATTTCCATATCTGGATGACTGCCTACTGAAAGCAGCGAATCGACCAGCAGCAATAGAGGCTACCCAACAAAGAATAGTTCTTCTTTGAGTGCTTGCTCATGTCAATTCCATTCTAGGTGTGTGTGCGCCTATCCTCCAAAGCACTTTCAACTCTTCCCAGCTTGGTATCGGTCGCAAACTTTATAAGTATGCCATTATCTAAATCTTGATGAAGATATTGAATAGAACCGGACCCAGAACTGATCCCTGCAGGACCCCACTTGATATGCCCTTCCAGCATGACTGTGAACCACTGATAACTACTCTCGGAACGGTTTTCCAACCAGTTTTGCACCCACCTTATAGTAGCTCCATCTAGGTTGCATTTCCCTAGTTTGTTTATGAGAAGGTCATGCGAGGTATCAAAAGCTTTACTAAAGTCAAGATATACCACATCTACTGCTTCCCCTATCCACAAGGCTTGTTACCTCTATATGTGTCAAAAAATGCATGTGTTCTGGAATGCCACATTTAGTACTCTCTCAAAAACTTAGTGTCGCTATCTTTCCTTCTCCAAATTTGTTTGTGTTAAGGGTGCTGAATGAGTTGGTATTACCAGTTAACATTAAGAAATGGATTGCAGTAACTACTAGTTAATGCAATCCATTTCTTAATGTTAACTGGATATAGTGGCCACAATAGAACTTATTTTGAGAAACTGGAAATCTGCAATTCCTCCCTCATACACACGCTGGCTTATTGAGCTCTCTACAAAGTTTTAATGGGAAAAAAATGGCTATCTAATAGAAACATTTGGAAAAATATGAGGCTGTCTAGTCACATGTGAAATTATTGCATACTTTGCAGTTTAGTATATATTAGTCCCTGATACTCATGGGTTATGTTCTCACTTATCTGTTCAGTCACTTTAATAGTTGATGCCCTATGTGACCTCTATGGGTTCAGGGGGTTGTTCTGTTTTGTTTCTAGGTTTTGTGAATAATGAAAGTTGAATTTTGTTATTTATATGCTATAAATTGCCTAGGGAGGTTGTGGAATCTCCAGCATCAGAAATTTTTAAGAGCACGTTAGACCTGTCAGGAATGGTCTAGATAATACATAGCCCTGCCATAAGTGCAGGGGACTGGACTAGTTGACCTCTCGAGGTCCTATGATTCTATTTCCATCTTGTGCATGTATTTATATGTTTTGTTTCATTATGTGTTTATATTTTTTATAAAACAATAAAAATAAAGTCTAAAAATCATTAGGATTATCATGTATCTTCTTAAACTATTTCTGTCTGGGTAAAACAATGTATCCTTGAATGTTACATGTTAGCAGCAGCTTCTGTGCCTAGTCGTGTGAGAACTCCTACTAGTGCCATAGCAGTAGCAGCATCTTTTGCTTGTCTTAAAATTTTTCCAATTTGGGAAATTTGTGGGACTGCTACTTGGAAGTCAGTCCATATGTTTACTAGACGTTATGCTTTGGATTTGGCTTCAAAAGTGGATGCTCAATTTGGTAGAGCTGTGCTTCAGTTCTTAATGTTATTGGACTCTGTTCCTACCTCCTGAGTTTACTGCAGTCTATGCCAAACTACCCATAATATGCAGAACTACTCAAGGAAATTAAGGTTACTTGTCTGTAACCAAAGTTCTTCAAGATAACTCTGCCATATAATCATACTTTCCTCCCACCTTCTCCTTTTACTCAGAGTGTTTTCTTGGTTTCTCAGCACCCCCTTTTATAGCTTTTCCCTCAGAATGTCCGGGAGCACTGAAGGAATGGGTGGGGGCACTGCTTAGAGGAGGTTTCACCTTTAGTCTGCATTGGTCGGCTCATTACTCTTTTAAGTGTGACAAAGCAGAGTCATCTTGAAGAACTCAAGTTATAAGTAAGTAAACTTCAGTTTTTTCCAATAAATTCATAAGCAGCAAGGCCCAACAAGCCTCAGTAAGGGTAGACACGCTTAGTAAGAAAGACTTACTGATACTAATTTGGCTGAAAGTCTTGTTACATAGCTTATTTTTATTTTAAGATTAGTATTTTTTAGAAAGTTTTAGTATTTTGTTTTCTCTAATGTTGTTTTTTATGATTAAATATGCAATTGAATATTCTGTTAGCCGTGTGACACCTGCAAGTTGCATCTGTCATCTGGCCGTGGGGAAATTTAGGCTTGAAATTAGACGAAGGTTTCTAACCGTCAGAGGGGTGAAATTTTGGAACAGCCTTCCGAGGGAAACGGTGGGGGCGAAAGACCTCTCTGGCTTCAAGATTAGGCTAGATAAGTTTATGGAGGGAATGGTTTGATGGGATTACGTGATTCTAATCAATTAGGCAATAACGGCCATCGCTGGTAAAATGAGGGTCTGGCTAGAGAATCTTGCCTGTATGCTCGGGGTTCTGCTGATCGCCATATTTGGGGTCGGGAAGGAATTTTCCTCCAGGGTAGATTGGCAGTGGCCCTGGAGGTTTTTCGCCTTCCTCCGCAGCATAGGGCAGGGGTCTCATGCTGGAAGATTCTCTGCGTCTTGAAGTCTTTAGATCACGATCTGGAGACTTCAACAGCAGAGCTAAGGAAAAGTGGGGGGGTCAGCTTTTGTGGCCTGCATCATGCGGGGGGTCAGACTAGATGACCATATTGGTCCCTTCTGACCTTAAAGTCTATGAGTCTATGAGTCTATGAGTCCTATTTATGGGTCCTTCTGGGGGCACTGAGCAGATAGTTGATGCCTAAAATAGGTGTGGGGGAGCAACCCACTCCCCTCTCCAATTTCTGGATTCCCAAAGGTTTTTTGCAGAGGCCAGTTCACTTTTTTATTTACACTAAACAAAAGAGCCTTCCTCTATTAGACTACTAGTAGTCAACCATTGAAAAAAGAGGCTTTCAAGCCCCCATATTCCAGCATTTTATAATGTTTAAATCCTTTGGTATTCAGATTGAAAGGGTTATAGTTGTACTACTGTGCTGAAGTATCAATACACTTGCTATAGTTCAAATTCTACTGCCACTGGAGGTCATAAGAACATAAGAATGGCCCTATTGGGTCAGACCAAAGGTCCATCTAGCCCAATATCCTGTCTTCCGACAGTGGCCAGTGCCAGGTGCCCCAGAGGGAATGAGGTAATCATCAAGTGATCCATCCCCCGTTGCTCATTCCCAGCTTCTGGCAAACAGGCTAGGGACACCATTCCTGCCCATCCTGGCTAATAGCTATCCTCCATGAATTTATCTAGTTCTTTTTTGAACCCTGTTATGGTCTTGGCCTTCACAACATCCTCTGGCAAGGAGTTCCACAGGTTGACTGTGCGCTGTGTGAAGAAATACTTCCTTTTATTTGTTTTAAACCTGCTGCCTGTTAATTTCATTTGGTGACCCCTAGTTCTTGTGTTATGAGAAGTAGTAAACAACACTTCCTTATCTACTTTTTCTACACCAGTCATGATTTTATAGACCTCAATCATATCTCCCCTTAGCCGTCTCTTTTCCAAGCTGAAAAGTCCCAGTCTTATTAGTCTCTCCTCATACGGAATAATTTTTGTTGCCCTTTTCTGAACCTTTTCCAATTCCAATATATCTGTTTTGCGGTGGGCCAACCATATCTGCACACAGAATTCAAGATGTGGGTGTACCATGGATAGAGGCAACATGTCCTATTATCTATCTCTTTCTTAATTATTTCCAGCATTCAGTTTGCTTTTTTGACTTCCCCTGCACATTGAGTGGATGTTTTCAGAGAACTATCCACAATGACTCCAAGATCTTTCTTGAGTGGTAACAGCTAATCTAGACCCCATCATTTTATATGTATAGTTGAGATTATGCTTTCCAATGTGCATTACTTTGCATTTATCAACATTAAATTTCATCTGCCATTTTGTTATCCAGTTTTGAGAGATCCTTTTGTAGCTCTTCACAGTCTGCCTGGGTCTTAACTATCTTAAGTATTTTTGTATCATCTGCAAATTTTGCCACTTCACTGTTTACCCCTTTGTCCAAATCATTTATGAATATGTTGAATAGGACTGGTCCCAGAACGCACCCCTGGGCGACACCACTATTTATCTCCCTCCATTCTGGAAACTGACCATTCATATCTACCCATTGTTTCGTATCTTTTAACCAGTTACCAATCCTTGAGAGCACCTTCCCTCTTATTCCATGGCAGCTTACTTTGTGTAAGAGCCTTTGGTGAGGGACCATGTCAAAGGCTTTCTGAAAATCTAAGTACACTATATCCACTGGATCCTCTTGGTCCACATGCTTGTTGATCCCCTATTCTAGTAGATTGGTGAGGAATGATTTCCCTTTACTATAACCATGTTGACTCTTCCTCAACAAATTATGTTCATCTATGTGTCTGACAATATTGTTCTTTATTATAGTTTCAACCAGTTTGCCCGGTACTGAAGTCACGCTTACAGGCCTGTAATTGCTGGGATCACCTCTGGAGAGCCCTTTTTAAAAATTGGCATCACATTAGCTATCCTCCAGTCATGTGGTACAGAAGCTGAGTTAAATGATAGGTTACAGACTACTGTTAGTAGTTCTGCAATTTCACATTTGAGTTCCTTCAGAACACTTGGGTGAATACCATCTGGTCCTGGTGACTTATTGCTGTTTAATTTATCAATTTGTTCCAAAACCACCTCTAATGACACCTCAATCTGGGACAGTTCCTCAGATCTTTCACCTAAAAAGAATAGCTCAGGATTGGAAATCTCCCTCACATCCTCAGCCATGAAGACTGATGCAAAGAATTAATTTAGTTTCTCCGCAATGGTCTTATTGTCCTTGAGTGCTCCTTTAGCACCTCAATCATGCAGTGACCCCACTGGCGGTTTAGCAGGCTTCCTGCTTCTGATGTACTTAAAAAAAATTTGCTATTACTTTTTGAGTCTTTGGCTAACTGTTCCTCAAATTCTTTTTTGGCCTTCCTAATTGTATTTGTACACTTCATTTGCCAGTGTTTATGCTCCTTTCTGTTTTCCTCACTAGGATTTAACTTCCACTTTTTAAAGGATGCCTTTTTGCCTCTCACTGCTTCTTTTACTTTGTTGTTTAGCCACGGTGGCTCTATTTTGGTTCTCTTACTATGTTTTTTAATTTAATTTTCAACATTTAAGTTGAGCCTCTATTATGGTGTCTTTAAAAAGTTTCCACGCAGCTTGCAGAGATTTCACTTTTGGCACTGTACCCTTTAATTTCTGTTTAACTAACCTCCTCATTTTTGTGTAGTTCCCCTTTCTGAAATTAAATGCTACAGTGTTGGGCCGCTGTGGAGTATTCCCCGCCACAGGGATGTTAAATTTAATTATATGATGGTCACTATTACCAAGCGGTCCAGCTATATTCACCTCTTGGACCTGATCCTGTGATCCACTTAGGACTAAATCAAGAATTGCCTCTCCTCTGGTGGATTCCATGACGAGCTGCTCCAAGAAGCAGTCATTTAAGGTGTCAAGAATCTCTGCATCCCGCCCTGAGGTGACATGTACCCAGTCAATATGGGGATAATTGAAATCCCCCATTATTATTACTGAGTTTTTTTATTTTAATAGCCTCTCTAATCTCCCTGAGCATTTCGCAGTCACTATCACCATCCCGGTCAGGTGGTTAGTAATATATCCCTACTGCTATATTCTTATTATTAGAGCATGGAATTTCTATCCATAGAGATTCTAGGATACAGTTTGATTCATTTACGATTTTTACTTCATTTGATTCTACGCTTTCTTTCACGTATAGTGACATTCCCCCACCAGCATGACCTGTTCTGTCCTTCTGATATATTTTGTACCCTGGTATAATTGGGTCAATGGGATAATATTTAGCCCTTATTATTTTGTAGCTCGTGTTTGTGTAGCACAGCGTAAAGTGCTCTTAAATATGTCTTTAGATTAATTGTGAAATATTCTTGGATGCCTCCTAACAAATATATTATGGTAATACAGCATTTTGTGTTTATCTAAAATAAAACTTTTTCTCTCCAGTGTTCTGTTTTAAAGGACAATTCGTTTGCACTGCCACAATTTAAACATGGTCTAACACTCTTTCTTTCTCAATTTTGTGGTCTGACTAGGAAAAATTGTGGGAGGGGAGAGATGAAGGAGGACTGTAATATTTTACATGTATTATTCTTGAAGAGGTTAGACGTGAGTTTCTGAATGTAAAACTGAGTCTTGAAAAATAACATTTTTATTTATTTATGCAGATTTTATGGTTAGTGTAATTTCTGAAGATAGCAACATTATTAAAAATATTAATCCAGGACGGGTTTCTATGAAAATGTGGGAAGGACAGAGCAGTGGAAACAGAGTACCAGCTAATGTGAGTAATTGGAAAATGTTATAACACAAGTTGGTCCTGTGAATATGACACAAACAACATTTTCCACAGAAGGGAATTCTGTGTGCTTTGTTTAGAGAAATGTCTTTTTCTGGATTGCAGCTATTAAGTGTTAATTTTACTGAATGTACAAGAAATTTATGTCCACGCCAGCTGCTGTCCCTATTACTTTAAACAAGACTGAGCTGTCTGTCTGGTAAAACTGCAATACTTCAACATTGGGAATGTTGTTCCTATTCAGCAGTAGCTCACTAATTTACACTCGGGGGGAGACCTGTTACAAATTACAGCAGTGAAGTTTGTGAATTACCAAGAAAAGTAAAGGAGCATACTAGAAGTGTAATGCATTACAATGTACCTTTCATGTATTTTGACAATTGTTTAATATATCATAATGCAATAGTGTGTGTACTACAATATGTATTTTTAAAATAATGAAATATAGTAATATGAGAGTATCATTACAGCATTCTGCTATTAATTTTCTAAATAGTAAGGAAAGCTACTGTTTTGAAGTAAGTGTGTACATAACTGAAGTTTTACTTCAGGTTCTACTGTACTTAAGACAAGAAGTATGAATATATTGCTGTAAAAAGCCACCATTCTCCAAACCTTAAAAACCAAAGGAGGCTCTTTGCACTCCATAAGGATGTCAGAAGAGTTGTGAAGTATTACCTTTTGCCAATCTGATGCTCTTTGTTTGAAGATTTAATTTCCAAAGCCTATATTTGTCACTGAGTTAAAATAACTATAAAAATAATCTCCAAACAGACATTTTGCCTTTTGGCATTACAGGTTCACACTCCATCAGATCTTTGTTGACCTTATGGGCAAAGAGAAGCAGGACATGTTGCACTGAAACTTGGAAAGCACGTATCCACACCATTACTAGAGATAACACTTGTTTGCAGCTTTTAGCTGCGATTCCGTTTTAGTGTGTTATCTACAAATGATACATCAGAGTTGTCTGGATTAGCATAGATGTTCTGGAGAGTGGGACAAATCTATAAATTGGTCATCTCTTAAGAGGGCATCCACCAATCCAGAATTTCCTCCTTCCATCCTGTTTATATGGGATTTTTTTATACAATTCATGTATGTGTATTAAACGTGAAAATCTGCCCCCACTTTGGTCAATGAAAAGCTTTCCTTGCCTTCACTGGGGCAAGAATTGTACCCTAAGCTTTTCCAGTATTATTCACAAAACTTTGAAGGTGCCGCCCAGCCCATGCCACTAGACAACCACCCCTCAGCAGGAATCTTTCCAGCTGGGGAAGGAAGAGCTGGGGGGGCATCAAGCTGCCTCTGTGCATGTGCCAGTAAGCAGAGCTCCTCCATCAATCCGAAGCAATTTACAGTAAGAGAAATTTTATTGCAGTTTTTTTCATCACATGCTTTAAGCTTTTGTTTGGTTGATTGCGACATTAGCTGTTCTTGTGCTTGGAAGTGAAGATAGGCTGTGGTTCTTTGTACAAAACATTTTTCTTCTGAAGGCTGAACAGAAGGGGTATTTCCACAACTCTTTGGTAATTTTCCTTCGCATACTAAGGAACAGTGCTGTGTTCACATATCGATTAGTTCACTCATCTCTATTATGCAGGAACTGAGAATACCAAAATAGCTTCTAAATTACAAGTTCTTTCAGAAAACCGCTATGTTCAGTTTTCTTAATTTAAAAAACTTGTTTAATGGAAACAGCTTTTAAATTTTATAACAAACATACAGTTTTTAACTGATGTTTAGTAGGGATGTAAATAGCATGTAAAAAACCTACCCATGTAACTGATTGAAATTCTATTGGTTAAATGTTTTACCGGAGAACTAGGGGGGATCCCCGCTGCCGGCCCTGTGCCCAGGGATCTCCGCTGCCACCGGTGTCCCCCTGCCAGCCCTGCGGGCCAGGAGCTGGGACCTCGTGTGCGCGGGGAGACAGCGGAACTGTAACCGATGAGCATCAAGCTTATCAGTTAACCAGTTAAACTTTTACATTCCTAATGTTTAGTAAGACTGGATAGCATGTTACATATGAAGTGCTTTAAAAAATTTTGTGTGTTACATTTACCTTTTAAAATCCTGTTCTTTTCAGGTTACAACTCTTGGCTGTAGTAAAGTCAAGGATGGCAAGGATGAGGGCTTCTTTTACTTCAGGTTTGAGCAAACTCATTTTATAATTAAAGTTCGGAATAGAGTAAGCATTAACAATATAGCTGTTGGAGAAATGCTTTAATTTCAACATCATTGATGAGAAACTGGTATCTTCTAATGTATTGGTATGATATAATGCATATGGAATGGAGTCCTTCACAAAAAATAAACCCTGTTCTTTTGAGATCAATGTGAACATGTTGCATATACTTTGTCAACATATTTAGAGATGGTTGTGGGGTAATGCATCCCTCATTTTGAGGCCACCTTCCCTGTCTGTAATTTGCCATTTATTTGGGGTGAAGGAAAAGGATAATTTTAACTTATGCCTTCTTCTCTGTCACCAGTCAGTGGCAGAGATGCTCTATTTTCTGCCTCATAAGTTACCCATTAGTTCACAGTACTGGGTTATCTCCTTTCTCTGCAGTAGAACCACAGTTAGCAACCTGTCAGCTCGCCCACATTTTTTCCTTATGACTCACAGATGTCCTACCTATAATGGCAGGACCAGACAGCAGCAGAAAGTGCTCCCTTTTTCTGGAGCAGATTTTATCAAGTGGGCAAGGGTCATGCAAAAAGCAGGTACCTCAGCAGTGCTCCAAAAGTAACTTAAATAGATGCAAAGCAGTCTGGGGAAGCAAATAGGAATCCTGTCAGAGTGCCAGGATCCTGTAGTGCGCTCTTCCCACAACTAACGGTATCCTTCATAGTGCCCCTACTTGGATGACCTTTCCACACAAGCGTCTTTCCACCTAAATGCAGCTAACAGGAGCACATCCAAAGTGTGCATGATCACTCCGGTGGTAGTTGTTCACAAAGAAATGAAAAGAACAAAAGGCTAAGAAGCCTAAAAATTGTAAGTCCAAAAATGGTTATCCAATCTCTCCCATTCCCAGCAGCTCTGCCCTTGAAGAAAGCAAACTGTGTCTGACCATGACAAGCCAGAATCAGATTCTCAAGAGAGGTTCTTTACACCCCAGTTCTTTGATATTCTTGATATGAAGCCTGGTAACATGGAGGAAAAAGGACCTAACACTAAGGCAAAGTCCTTCTCCTTTGAGATTATCATAAGATCTGAATGAGAACTTGCAGGTAAAACAAAGAGGGTTTATGATGAAGTTTTACAACTACCAGGGACTAAAAGTCTCCCTAAATCAGATACCCAAGGTTGATGAAGCAGTAGCCTCACTAACAGAAGACATGGTTACTTCTTTGTGGAGAGACTCTTCTTTTCCCAAAGATACCATAGATAAAATGATGGAGGGTATCTTTTACAAGGATTTCAAAGCTTCTTCAACAGCCATACAGATATACTTTGCAAGAGCCAGAATGGCCAAATGTGGTGATCTGAAAAAAACTGATCTTTTTAACTAGAATAATTTTTTTGTCTTTTGATAAAGAAAATGTACCTCTGTGGCCTTAGATTCTTCTATGGTAACTGAGATTTAGGGCAAAAACAGACACTAAGGTGTCAATAACAATTCTGACGCTCTGTATCTAAATTTGGTATACTAAGTAGTAGCTGACAACAAAACCCAAACCCTAAAATCTTGCTTCTAAACACTACTAAGTATCAGAATTAGACTCTACGGCAGATTACAGATCCAAGCAGTTCTTTTCTTCCTACCAAAACCAAATACAGTAACTCCTCGCTTAACATTGTAGTTATGTTCCTGAAAAATGCTACTTTAAGCGAAACGATGTTAAGCAAATCCAATTTCCCCATAAGAATTAATGTAAATAGGGAGAGTTAGGTTCCATTATATATTTTATATATAGAGAGAGTGTGTGTATGTGTGTGTGTGTGTGTGTGTGTGTGTGTGTGTGTGTGTGTGTGTGTATATATATATACACACACACAGTATAAGTTTTAAACAAACAATTTAATACTGTACACAGCAATGATGATTGTGAAGCTTGGTTGAGGTGGTGAAGTCAGAGGGTGGGATATTTCCCAGGGAATGCCTTACTGCTAAACGATGAACTAGCACTCGGCTGAGCCCTCAAGGGTTAACACGTTGTTAATGTAGCCTCACACTCTACAAGGCTATGGAGGGAGGGGAGACACCATGGCAGAGAGAAACAGAGACACACACCCTGTGTGAGAGAGACGCACATTGCCCCTTTAAGTACGCTGACCCCACTCTAAGTACGTTGCCTTTTTAAGTAGATTAGCAAATTGAGACAGCAGCTGCTGCCAGCAAGCTCCCTCAGTCCTGACCCCTGTAGTGTGCGCCGCGCCCCCCTCCCTCCCAGTGGAGATAAGGAACTGGAGATGGGGGTACAGGAGCGTGTGGAGGGGAACACCCTGACATTAGCATCCCTCTTCTCTCTCTCTGCCCCCCCTCCTCCCCGCACAGCAAGCAGGAGGCTCCCGGGAGGAGCTCCAAGGCAGAGGGCAGGAGCAGCACATGGCAGTCGGGGGAGGGACAGCTAAACTGCTCGGCAATTGATAGCTTGCTGGGCGGCTGCCACACAGGGAACTTAGGGAAGCTGATAGGGGGGCTGCCGGTCCACCCTGCTTCCAAGCCCCCACCAGCTAGCTCCAACAGGCTGCTCTTTCTGCAACCAGTGGACAAAGAAGGCGGCTGCCAAACAACGTTATAAGGGAGCATTGTGCAACTTTAAACAAGCATGTTCTCTAATAGATCAGCGACGTAACAACGTTCACCGGGACGACTTTAAGTGAGGAGTTACTGTAAACTCAAGAGAATTTGCCCCCAGGAGCAGAGGCTTCAGAGAGAGAACGAGGCAGCCCTCTTCTTCCTCATTCTTTTCCATCCTACCAAACCCCACATTGACACAGACTGTGCTTCTGTGTAAGTTCATCTGGGGAAGGCAAAAGAGTGTCTCACTCATTTTAATTGCTCATGACAGAGTTAGTATTGGACAAAGGTTCTGGAGATGTCTCTCAGTGTGTCCATGTTGCACTCAAATATTTTCTTTCTCCATTCTTCATAGTGCTCCTGACTTCTCTCAACAAAATAAATGTTATTTTTCTACACATCTCAAGAAATAATCCTACCATCTTTTTGTCCATCCCCAGGGTACAATAAAAACATTGTGGCACGTTCTAGACATGTGCAGATCACTAAGAATCTACGTGAAATTAAGTATTCCAGGAAATCTTATTTATTTTCCTGTGAAATGAAGAGGAGACAGCATCCAAATAATCATTAGCAAGATAGCTAAAACGTTGCATAATGGAAGCATACAAGGCTTCAAATCAATCAATTCAAGAGGGCATCATAGATCATTGTACCAGTGTCCAAATCATGAGTAGAGACTGCTTGCATCTCCTGATCGGATTTGTTAGTAGCAATGTGTCATTATAGTCCATGTTCTTGAGGTGCAACAAACTAGACAATCTTCCATGTGCTGTAAGTGGTACCCCTGTTAGGCCAAATACCTGTTCTAACTTTCCCTCAATTTTGATTCTGATATTTCTCATTCTTCGCATACTGCAGACTAGTGATATGAGGCAGAATGGAAATTTTTATTTGCTGTTTATCTTCTTTCTGTGATTAAGTTCTACACAAGTCCAAACCATTCACTTTTATAAATTGTAAATTTAATAATTGAATTTGGATTTCTATTGAAGTTGAAAGAATCGTATTAGGTGTTCGATGAAAGTTAGGGTTTTTTGTACACATACGTTTCCTTATATATTATTCCAATGCTTTTGAGACAATTCATCTAAATAGTACAGGAAGGAGTTATGATCAGGCTGACAAATTGCTAAATAGCTTGGATTACCCACAGATTCACTGCAGAGAGGAGAGAGACCAATTCTGTAAACTAGTGGAGAGGCTAATCCCAGAGAGCCATATTGTGACACTGGTGTGCAGGAGTAAGATTTAGCCTCTGCCTTTGTCACTTGATAATATCTCTGTGGGCTAGATTGAGCTGCAAGGCTCAGCAGTGAGTAAAGAGTGGCACATTCTTGTGCCACCCCAGGCAGACCCTTGTGATTGTGGCAGACCACTGCCATTCCCTCTTCCTTGATCTTCTTGCTACTGCTGTTGCCATTTTAAGTAGCAGCAGCTTATTGTTGTTTGTTTACAGTGTGATAGCTCCTGAAATATGCTAAGCATTTCAAGACACACAAGATACATTTCTGGCTCAAGTGTGTGCAGTCTTCTGAGTTGGAGTTGCTACTAGCTCCACCCCCTGCTGATATATGAAGCAACCTGTGCAAGAAAGCAGGGCTTTTTGCTTATAAAATGGCAGAAGAAAAAGAGGAAATTAATCCAAATGAAAGTAAATAAAGTAGTCCAAACCAGTTTAAAAAATGTTCATCCATTCCATTATTAAATATAACTGATAACTTTCCATGAAGTAGTTTAAAATGATGTGAATAAAATTATAGTTGTGACGCAAGCTGACAAAACCCAGGAAATTCAGTGTTGTTATGCATGTGAGGGGGAGGGAGAAGTACCTTTTAGCATTCATCATTCCACCTTGTATAAAAGAAGAGAATTTCATAAACTCCACAGAGAGTCTTCCTCAGACAGGTTATCACAGGTGTTGTTCATAAAGTTGGGTAAAGAATGGACAGAATCTAATGGAAAGTAAAGTACCCCATCACTTTGCAGTAAGTGGTTAACAGGAATAGATAAAGATTTGATTTGCTGACCTTATTTGTAATGTCAACATTAAGATCACTATTTTTTTTAATTAACTTAGGGATAAAATGGTTCCAGAGAGAGTGGGAACTTACAGCATCCAGTTTGCTTTTGCGATTGATAAGACAAATATACTCAGCAGTGAACAGGTTTGCTTCTGTGATGAATTATATATAGTTAGGTGTATATATAGTAGGAAATAAAGTATGTGAAATTCTTTACAGTAAATGAGATGACTGATTTTAATAAAAACATTTGAATTACTGTTACAATTGGCTAATTTACAAAATCCATAACTTTATTTTTGGTAATAACAGACCTTGAACAGTTGATTATCAAATCATGTTTTTATTGGCCTTTTAAGTAGGCAGACATCTGCTGAATAGACTTTTTTCATTTTCTTCTGTTGTTTCTTCATAAATGCCTCCTCGCTGTTTCTGTTAAAATATAACATTTTTATAAACTGCGTAATTTATAAACTAGTAAAACTCGTTATGGCCCTTTGAGTTGATGATTAAGTTTTAAGAACATATTTTAGCTTATACATTGTATTTGTTTCAGTATTGTTGGGCAGCCTACATATTGTAGATGAAATTTCAGTTAACTGTGTTATTCCTCTTACTTTCTTAAGATTGTAATTGAAGTGGTAGCTAATGATCCAGTGCAGTTGCTACCAGAATCTGTACCAGCTACTCCTGTAGTTTCTAATGTTCGAACAGTTGCCAGCCGGACTCTGATAAAGGATTTATGCCTCCATATAAAGGTAATGTTACTTTGCTGCAAAGCAGTAGTTGGAGCAATAAATAAAGGTTAATTAAAAATGTGATGTATTTTGCTCATAAAAATTATCATCATCTTTAATTGTAAAATCTTAGATAAGTAGAGCAGTATGATTGGATGCTGCTGTTCAAAACTCAGAACTGTTTAAAAAAACATTTTAAAAAAAAAACTTGCTGTCTACATTAGAAAATAAAAAAAATGGGTTTGGTTTGTTTTTCCCCCCAAAAAAGTATGAACATAGAAATTACATTACATGCTGTTATTTCCTTTACTATTTCTGTGGACTTGAATTTGTAGGTTGTTGACAACAGGAGGTGCTACTTCCCCTGAAATGCATCTTTACTAGCTCCCAGTGGAGCAGATTACTGTCAGACCTGTGAAAAATGTCCACAGCAATTATCTTCAATACACAGCAGTTTATTGAGAAGGAATTACACAAGTGGTAAAGGGTTATATCAAGCACATAACTCCTATGTTAGACATTAAGACCTATACATTCCTCTTAACGAGTCTCTCTTTTACAAACATACACAAACAGGCCTTGTGTTAGCCTCATGCAGTTCCAGCTTGGCAAACAGAGAAGGTGGTTAACAATTTTATAGATGGCTTCTTCCCTCCAAGTCTGTTCTTCTCAGCCCTCTGGTCTGTCTCGGATTCCCTTGAGACCCCTCTAGTTCACAGTCCAACTCGAGCCCACTCAGCAGAGTTTTGGCTACTCTGCCTAACAGCATTGCTTCTTCAAGTGTCAATTAAGGAATCCCAGTCACAGTAATTTACTTTGCTTGATTCTTATACTCTTTTTCCTCAAAGGAGTCACATGTCTTAAAAGCATGCCAAGTGTGGATGTGGTTATTAATTTTATCTTATTAGTATTTTAGAAGGAGCTAGGGGAGTTGTACCGAATGAAGCTCACCCCACTTTACTCACTCATCAATCATTCACTCTGGCTCGCTGTAAGGTCACAATAACCAGGTCGACCTGTGCTCCAAGCTGGAACTTTATACATGGGATAGTTACTTTTGCATGGGCCCATATTTGCAGACCAATAGGTTCAATATCGATTGCACACACAGACTTTGCCAAATCCTTTATCAAATCTGCTTCTGCTTAAAGGGGACCCTGCTCCCAGGATCCTCTGCAGCTCTTCAGCCATGTTTGTCATGTCAGGTTATGCTCACACCATTCATTCAGTATGGCCACACCAGTTTGGCACCATCCCAACATAAGTCTTCTACTTTTATCCCTTTGTATTCAAGATGGTGAGAAACTCACACCTTAAACTGTTAGTCCTACAAGTTACTCTGGTATAGAGTGTAACTCTGAAAGTAGCCACCTGCTCTAGATGGTGTCCTCAAACCCCTCTTTCCCCCTCGCCCCCAAAAAAGAAAAGAAAACCACCTTCCCCTCAAAGGACAAAAGAACACCAGATTATTACAAGAGCCACAGAAGGTGAGCTCTTCCATGATTGCTCCTTGTTCTTCTGGGGGAAAGATTTGAGCCTGAACATCTTGTTAACATTCCTGGCATCAGCTAAGTCACACTTAGAGACATCTTAAAAAGGATGGATCAGTCCTTCTTGGAACTCTGAAAAAACCAGACTGTCCTTGCCAGTCATGGACTCACAGGATGGAGGTCTAGAAATCTCCCTGAACCTACAGATGAAGTCCAACTCTAAAGGAAAAAAGAACATGAGTCCTATCCCAGCTTCTTAAGAGGGTTAATCGTGTTACTTGGCAACTCTGACTCCTTCTGAAGAAAAATCTAAAGAGCTCTTTTAAAGACGTTCCCTTTCATTTCCTCTCCAATTAAGTCACATTGTGATGAGTGTATCATCCTCCTCCTCCTTCCCTCCTCCCTTGCAGGAAAAATCCAAAAGGGAATAACAGACTAGAAAAGTCAATCCTCTGGAAATTACCAGTCACCACCCTCTTGTCTTCTTCCCTGTCTTACACACATACACACACCACTCCAAAATGTCTTCCATCCCCCCACAAGGACAAGAGAACCAAGAAGACTGAAAAATAAAATCAGGAAAAAAAGCCAGAAATCACCACAGATTTTCATCTCCTTCAATAAGTTCTAGTTCCTCCTTCAGAAAGGGGGAATTCTCAGCTCTGAATCAAGATAATCATAAATCCAAAAAGAACTACAACACTGAGCTGAAAAATCAGATGTTCTTTACTCAGACTTCCATGAAACTCTGAGAGTGGTGGCTACTGTGTTAAGATAGACTATTAGAAAGTAGGACTAGAAGGGACCTTAATAGGTCATCTATTCCAGCCCCCTGCACTGAGGCAGGACCAAGTAACCCAGACCATCCCTGACAGGTGTTTTGCCCCCAGCCCCACTCAGCCCCCCCACCCACCGCTCTCCCCTGCGGGGGCAGGAGGCAGAAGCTTGGTCCTGCGGCAGCCAAGCTTCCCCCCTCCCCCGCTTCTTTCCCCAGCGTGGTGCTTTCCTGCCCCTCCTCCTCTCCTTCCCTGCGCCGATCAGCTGATGGCCCTTGTGACGGGGAGGGAGAGGAGTGGCAGCCTGCTCCGTAGAGGAGGCAGAGAAGAGGTAGGGATAGGGCCTTGGGGAAGGGGGTGGAACAGGGCATATCCCTTCCAGCCCCC